TTTTTTTTTTTTTTTAGCACGCATTGCAAACCCAAAATAATAAGCCCAAAATTCCATAACCTAAAATTATAACAAACCAAAATAATAACCCAATCAAAAGCCCAAGCCCATAGGCCATAAGCAACAATCAAAGTCAACAATACCTAACCCATTCATCAAAAATAATAAAGACTAAATATCTGGCCCAATTTCACTTAAAACAACTCCTCCTGTCTCCACTCCAATGAAAAGCCCACAATAAAATCAAACAACCAATTAACCATAACCCATTGACCAACCTGGCCCAAAACCTAATGCCAAAACAACCCATAAGCTGGCCATTAAACCAGCAGCCACACAGCCCACTAATAAGTAGGGCCCAATTGCAGAATGTGGCCCAATTCCACACACCCACTGCACCAACTCCAAAAGGCAATTTTAATCAACAAATATAAAACTAAACCCACCACAAACTAAACCCATTAACAGGCCCATGAATAAACTGATTAGAAATCAAGCCTAGCGTAATTACCAAAGCTCAGCCCAGAGAACTCAATCAAAGACAGACTCACGTAGAAATTGCTCACGATCGCCGGTACTGCTGAAGAATTCCGACCAATTGGGATGCCGACCACTGTTCAACTCATGCGGCGACGGTAGAGAAGAAAACCCATCATCCGGCGACTACAGAGAAGAACACCCAACAGCTGAACCACCAGACTTTAACTTTTGAACCAACCAAGTTCTCACCGAACTCTCCAATCCCGGATGAACTGGCAGTTGCTCCACTCCTCTTTCAATGTCACCAAGACCAGAAATTTCTGTTGAATTATTTGAAGAGCAGGATGAACATTGAAGAAATTCAGCCACTAATGCATGTAAACTCTCCCAGCCGCCAAAGTATGAAAATATAATCTGTTACTCAAACGAAAAGAAGGAAAAAAAAAATAATAATAACAACATGCGGAGAATGACATGTCCAAGCAAATTGGCAGGAAAATCCAATTGAGCAAAGTAACTTTCAGATGCTGGACTCGTATTCAGATATTGGGAATCTGATGAAGCAACATGCGGAGAATGACATGTCTCCTGTTGGTACAGAAAATAACTCTTTCTTGCCAGTAGCTTTGTATATACCCAGTAGCTTTGTATATACTTCCAATGTGTGCTGGAGACGGACGAGGGGGGGAAATATGTAAGGGAAAGAGACAAACGAAAAGAAGAAGGAAAAATAATTGGCCGGGGCTGCTCGCCGGAAACGAAATTCACGCGTTAATTTGTTTAGGATCGTAACAGCTCTGATACCATGTGAAGAATATTATAAATTGTATATAATAAACTTGTTCTATTACAAAGCAGAAGACCCTATTTATAGGGTTACAAATAACTGTAAAAGGAAATAAACATAAAAGGAAATATTACGTAATCTACTACTAAGGAAAGTAAACTTATACTAAAAGGAAAGTAAATATAATCGCAATCTTTGACGATCTCTGTAATCGTATTCTATATCCTTAACATC